GAAATATGTGTACATTTTACATTCCCTGTACTCGAACACCACAGGCCGCATCTGGGTCTACTGTGATTTGTCGGATACCTTTCCGACAACAAGTGGCGTTCCTCAGGGTCGTCCAATCTTCCTATTTTTTTTCTGTTTCGTCGTCCATCCATCATGGAGCCTTTGCTTGCGGAGCCTCACGATGCAGGCGCTGAGGTGCCGCCTGGTGAAAAGCTAGTTGATCTTGATTATGCGAACAATATTTTCCTGCTTTTTAACGATGTTGGTGTGGCCCAATCAAACCTCAATAACGTCTCTAGATTATTGCAACAATTAGTTTCCGAGAAAGCTTTTAGCGGAAAAGTTAACACAGGAGTGCCGCACGATTTAATTCCGGCAAAATTTCTCCGCATATTTTCAAGTGCGTACTACAAACGTGTGAATTTATAGCATCATGAAATGCGCACAGTTAAAATGGCAAATTGACCAAACGAAACACACCTACCTTAATGTCACTTTGTCATCTGTTCCCGGCCTGCTACCACGGCATGGCCAGGGTCACAAATGCGTCTTTCTGCACCTATAGATTCGGGCCAAATTGTTTGATAGGCACGGCCTCAGCTATGGTAAAGTTAGGGGGTTCATTGATGCATAGATAACAGCGAACGCCTGCACGGGGTCTTCACAGTAATTGTCAGCCAGCAGGTGGCGGGCGATTGTTGGAGCTGCTTGTTTGTATGTGGAACTTCATTTCGCTTCATTGACTACTCATTCGAGGTGCTGGATGTGGCCATCTGCGAAACGTGTTTACTCACCCACGCCGGTATGTGCTGCGCGACACTCACCCTCAATTGTCGTTCTGTCATGCCCATGTATTCGGCCTTGCAATTACATGTAAATTGGTAAAGAATGTGTGAACGGCTGGACAGCGACAACGGGGGGTTAACCGACGGAGTAGGGATACGATTCGTTGTGTAGATGAGTACTGGTTCCTGCGCAGGGTATACGCGCGCCAGTGCGGGTTTCAATCGGCGCTGAAAAACCTGGCATACGTCGTCGCCCTTGAATGGGAATTGCACAAGAGTTACGCAAGAGTTAATTTGGCAGGGAGAAATGAAATCACTGACGACCAAACTTTGCGCCTTCCAAGCTGGACTCCACGCGACCGGCCTTGTGCTTGACTTGAAACGTTACAGCACATTGCTCTGCGTTGGCACCGTTGGCGTGTCTGCTGTCAGTTCCTAGTTGGTGTTTGGTGCTGACTTGTCTGCGGTTTTATTGTGACAGGGGCAGTGAAAACCACATGGAAGTTGTCTCACCGATTCGGCCTTATCTTTGCACGATAGGCAGCTATTTGTGATGGTATGTCGTTGACAAGGTCTAGGCGCCTTGATCCTGAGCTTTTGTTTAGGTTTTACGCCAGTTCTCCCTTCTCTCTATTATTGTTTTCCGTTCCATAGTTCTTTATGATTGTATGGCAGTGAATAACCAAATAAATAACGGATATATTCCTTGACGGTGCGAGGCACAGTCCAACTGGTTTGTCTGGTCATTATGTCCAACGGGATCACTTGGGACGGACAATATTTCTTCGAGTTCTTTTTTCACAACAGTACCCAAACTATTTTGCGGGGCTGATTGATCGGTTGCATCTTTCAGGTAGATGGATTGCTTGGTCATAATAAAAATGCAGATAAATCTAAGTGTTCAAGTGGTTGATATACTGTTAATATATATACTGTTAATATATATATATATACTGTTAATGATGGTGGTGATCCGCCTCCTTTCTAACTGGGGTCCATTGGACCCCTCTGTAATAAACTCGCTGCCAGCCGCCACCAGCTACGTGTTTGCTATCTCCCAGTCGGACTACATTTTAATGTGTGTACGCCATCGAGTTCTCTCCAGTAAGTTGGGCTGGAGGACAAATGAAAATGTTCACGCCTTGATGTCGTCTCATTTGCACTATATGGTCAGCTTCTTGTGACCATATGTTGTTGCTGCCAAGATGTAGGTGCATTACCCTTGCATGTTTTCCAAAGGTTCCGGGGCTTTGTTTTGTCCCAATACACACACTAGGCCCCGCGCAAGCTGGGTCTTGAATCACAACGGACCGAACCCACTAACGAAGGCGGTATGGATTGGCTTTTTTAGGAGAACTGTTAAAGTTGGCGACGCTCCACTTGGTGGGGGGTCGCTGGTTTCCATAGCCGAAATAGCTGCGTTTAACTTCGTGCTTAGCTTCCTGTCGAACATTAGCTCCTCTGGTGTGCAGTCGGTCGCTCTGTGGTGCGACGTTCTGTGAGTAAACAGAGCCTCGACTACGGCATCTTCCCAATGCATGCCAGACAAACGTGCTGTCTCTATACTTTCCTTTAGGGAGCGATTTGTGCCCTCAATCATTCCGTTGGCAGCTACATTGTACGGTACAGTTCGTAGGTGTTTCACATCGTGAAGTTGTAGGAAACGTCGGAACTCGTAGTTTGTGAATTTTTGCCCGTTGTCCGTCACAATTTCTTCGGGAAACCCAAATTTAGCAAACAGATGCTTTGTAATTCGAGTGCATCAAAGTAACGCTGGTCCTCATTTCCTAATAGGTGACTGAGAAGTTTTAATTTTTGGGCCTGATTCCAAGCAGTACTTGAAGGCAGTAAATCCAAGTTATTTATAAAAGATCTTTTTCATTGAATCTAGTCACTCTCAGTAGGTTTGACACTTGAATCACACCAGTATGGGTCCGGAGGTCGAAGATGGAATGCCATTGTATCAGTTCGCAGCCGCGACGCCAATGTTGTATCCCAATACGCACACTAGGCCCCTGCACAAGCAGGGTCTTGAATCACTACGGGCCGAACCCACTAACAAAGGCAGAACAAGGGGCGGACACGCTCTGGACACACTATTCATAAAAAGCGCGTCAGATAAGGTACAGGCGTAATGACTGATATTGCTCCATCGATAACGCTCATCCAACCATTTGCAGACTGCGCTGCGTGGCCTGACGGACATGACTGGAACTTGCGATAGGCGCTACAACAGGCTTTACCTCAGCTCCTTCTTGCTGTCTTCCCCTACTTCCCATTAATAAGTAACTATGCTTTGGCTAGATCGGTACACTAGTTCAAAGCTCCGATGTACTGGAATTTGGATGTTACCCGTTCGAAAACACTGTACACCACGACGCGTTTCCACGTTATGTGATCTCATCAAGTGTAGATAGCAGGCCTCGGAACCGGGACTATTGGAGTATTAGCCGAAACCTCTACTCCTTTAGCTCTGGGGTCACGACGGGCAGCTCTGATTGGAAGATCATTCTGCAACACTCGTGTGAATGGATTGCGGCGCGCAATCTCAATTTGGACCCCATTCTCGTTGAAGTGAACCTTAGTCATTCGATCACTCGGACCATTGCTGAAGCATATGGAAATTGAGTGTTGCCCGTCCACTTTGTTATTGCGCGTCTCAATCCATTCCCATAACGAGTGCTCCAGAATGACTCATCCAATCCCCCGGTTCACCACTTTTGTCGCCGATAGCATATTTAAGGTGCAACAAACATTCTACTAATTATACTGCATTTAACTAAGCCAGAAGAACGCTTATATTATTTGCGCGATTTCAGTTCACCGGTTAGTCAACAACCAGAAAGGTAACCGGTACAATCAATCTCGGTCACAAATTCAAATGGCGTCTAGATAGCCTTACCCCATCTCTTTAGTTTTGGTGAACTGGAAGGTGCTCTTACCCTGCGATACGCGAAAAATTTCTACTTAACACCCTTCATTAAGTAGCTGTACGATAAGTTCGTTCCTTGTCAAAGCGCAAGCCGGCTTGGCCATTGATTTTTGATTTTTTTTGTTGAGCAGGTAGGCGTAGCAGTATAATACTTGTGTGTAGGTTATAGGCGTCTACGCTAGATATAATGTCTTACTGATTTTTCCCGACTTCTCTCATTGGATACTTTCGTCATTAGCAGATCGTTGAAACGTTGGTTGAAAAATGAGCAACGAACTCTGTTTTAGGCTGCAGATCAAACATTTTAATATTTTTACACATTTGTCGTTGGAGTAACTATTTTCTCCGACTGTACATTGTGAACTTCATCGATCTAATTCCGTGTTTATGCCTAATTAAGATAGGGAATGTTGCTTTCATTTCCGGGACCTATACAAGTCCACCCATTAGAACCTAGGGGGCCAATCGATGCGGAAACCGTATGAAGCCTTGATGTAATCACAGCTGTTTTGTTGTCCGACTCTTCAGATCTCTGATACAGATTGCTGCTCGAGAAAACAGCCATCTTACATCCTGAAAGATGCTATCAATTAGAAGATTCTTCTGTTAGCCGTTTCTCCTATATGTCCTATTCCAATGTTTTAACTTTTCTGATGTCAAAGCGATGGCAGACTTCATGGACCACCGGCCCCTTGCACCTCGGTAAGCACCTCACAGTCTACATTCTGGTATGAGAAGATCCGTCACCTATCTTTGCACGTATTAGCCTTTTATTCACCGGAGTTCTTGCTTTCTGTCCTTTCTTTATTTTGTTCCGAGTCCTTTCCTTCTTTACACCACTTGGACCACACTTACGCATTAGTTGCTTCGCTGCCACAAACCTCTCTGCGGTGGGAGTAGCAAGGATTTTTGTCTATCGTTTCTCTATCTCTCCTTCCAAGTGCATGCTGCTATCGCGATAGAGTTTGCATCCACTCATACCGCTGGGATGTTTCTTGAATAGGTGCCGCCCTTCATCTTTTCGACTGCATTAAATTTGCCGTTTCAGAACCTCTTCTTCCACACATGAAGAGTCACTGTCAACAAAGATTCCTCTGAGACCTCAGTGGGTATACGGTGCGATTGGTCAGGTAACGGGCCCGTTGGCACGTGCCGAATTAACTTGTGGAATTCTGCGTTCATCTTTACGTTCTGTTCTGTTGCATTCTTTTCACCTTTCCTCTTGTGCTGTAAGCTTTACTCACTTTTATCTGGTATCTTTCTCCTCACTTCCTTTTGTACAGTACCACTCAATACTGTTTCCCAACCTTCGACGAGCTGCCTATCAAATAGAGAATATTGAATCGTTCATGGAAACATGTTTCCCCGAGGTACCTCAATCGTTAGATTCTTCTGTTGATGTCAGTCCAAGAATAAGCACATTAGTTAACACGAAAGTGAGTCTGCAGCTTATTTTATTGTGTTTGTGTTACACACTTTCTTAATTGTTGTATTCCTCTATTGTACATGAACAAACGTCACCTCGCTCGTCTAAGCTAGCAGATGACTGCAAGAAGCAAGTCACTTTAGCCTTAAACTAGCATGCAATACGACAGCACATGGTCGCACTTAACCTTTATTCCATGTGCTCTTCGGTTTCCCCATTGACCTACTGGTTGACCCTCACTCACAAAGCAGCGCGTTTAACTGCAACTCTAGTCATTTGGTGATTAGTAGAGGGTTTTAGTGTAATTTTTTGGGAGTCAATCTTGGTAGCTTCAAAGTCAGTTGACCTGCTACGCATCCGGAACAGTACCGGACTGGTCACTAGTGCACGTTTCTCATCTTCATCAATAACGGAGTCCATGACCTCGCGACACTGGCAGCTTGCCCCATTAGGCCACAGATGACGACGATAGGCTGACATAACTTACAAGCTACTCGCGAAATTGCTTGTCACATCCTCCACTGCCATACAAGCCGCGAACTCTGCAAAGGACAACGCTGGTCCCAAGAGTCACTAATTCCCACAAAAGAAGTTTGTGTAGGATGTAGCATTCCGCAACTGTTATGGCGAATGTTTTGATTACTAAAGGGTCATTTAGCACACTATGTTGCTTCGACCCATTTGTCGGTCCATATCGGTACTCGAATTCATGCGTCCATCTACTCACGATTTCTGCTGGATTTCTGCAGGATAACCAAAGAACCGGCTTGACGGCGGACCTCAAGGTTTCGAAATGTGTGTCACTCTGTTTGACTTGTGTTGTTGTGTCGAACGCTGCACATCTGCGGTTGTTTGTTTTCGCTCTTCACTTATTCCACTCTTGGCTGTCATGATACAGCATAAAACCCGCTGCTTCTTTAACCGAGAATCCATCCTCCTGGTGCAAGCAGACAGCTGCACGTGCACGCTTCCTCCAATTCTTAAGTGATAAGTATGGTCCCAATCATCTATACTTGTGATTGTATCACATTGCCGTTCCCTCTTGGGAAACGCAGTAGCGGCTTTTATCTTTTCGAATATTTCATGGTTGCTGGAATCGCCAACTCCATTGTATGCACCCGCCTTGTATGAATTAATCAACCCAATCCGAGTGCGGGGCCAACAAACCACATGTCCACTGTCTGTTTTCTCTGGCTCCCACTCTGGTCTGAGGTACGCATATGATACTTCAGCACTACATCCTTATCATCTTTTATCGATACTACATGCGTTAGTGCTTTCCATCGTCTTTTGTGACAGCGGTCATGAATACTGGCCGCATTCCATCGGTTACGTGCACCTCATCGGCCTTCTACTTCGGGAAAAATCACGCCTCCTAAACCCTTGTACTTTTTCTTTTCTACGACTTTGTTTTATACACAAACTGGTAGTCTACTCGTCCGATAAATACTTCACATTTTAGTTTAACCTGCCGATAAACTACTTGACTTGAACGCGCAAGATGAACCCATCTCACTTTTAATTTACTGGAGCTTTTCCATAACTCATCTCTTTAAAACTATTTTGAGCTTTCCTTTATTCTTTTGAGCTTTACCCATCTTGTCCTGTATTCGCCTTTTACAATCCCAGTTTCTCTTGCTTATTACCCGTTTTCTTTGGAGAACGGTCATGACCGAACCATCTAGCATCTCTCGGTGTGGTCGTAATGTACTCTACGTTGCAACACTGGTAAATAAATAAATAAATAAATGGTATATTCTCTGTAAAACGAGACACACCTCTAAAGGCATGATCAAATGGTGGTACTATTACACTATCAATTCTTTCAACTTAGGTCATAGACCACCGATTATATGCCCTGATCATGTTGGTACAACCCGTGATACCCTCTGCATAACCCACGTAACACTTTTCTCAATCCCACAGTACCACTAAATTTCACCATTTTTGTTATTCCCCTCCTCTCAGCTTGGCATTTCTTTGATACTGTGCCTTCTGGATACGTGCGCTCGACTTTCAAGGCCAGATGACCCCTCTAATTTGTGAGTTTGATTCGGTAAACCATTTCATCAACCGTGAATTATCATTTCGACATAACCACCGCCGTCTCATTGTCTGTGATACAACAGTCTACTTGTGAATAGAATTACTTGTATCGTATAGCCAGAGAAAATCGAAACACAATTAAACACTCAACTGTTTCCCCGCTAGAATACCGCGATACATAACTTTCGGTGTACCTCAAGTTCATTTACACTTGCGATACCAGGGCGTCAGTTTGAGCTTGTTGCTAATTTCGTACCTAGCGAATTATTTTGCTTTTTTCAAACAAATAAATTCTCGACGATGCGAGACCCGCCTGTATCAGCATACGTGTGTAGAACGTTGATCACAGATGGATCAGGGAAATCAAAAATCAGATCAGTTAACGACGTTTGTAACTACGGCAGCGGTATAATAAATGTTGTCTGAAATGAAATGATTTTGGCTGACTTTTTGTTGTTTCCTCATATACCTTATTATAAGCCATCTAACTCGTTGGAGAGAGTATGGTGACGAAACGTGTAGTGAATCTTGTGAAACCTGTTGTTATAGAACGATCAAATAGTTTGATCACGTTCTGTACAGCCAAGATGTTGATACAGTAGCGAAATTCGTGTACCAGAGTACAGGCGCATATTCCTGGTGGTAGCTTGTTCCAGGATCTGGCGTACCTGTTACGAAAATAGTTCACCGACCTGCTGGTCTTGAACTTACATTCCGCCACTGAGTTATGTTTGTTTCGTGTGTTGTGGAGTACTTATTGTATTATTGCCATGTTGAGGTCGGAAACATGTGTATTTATGTGCATAATGTTCTGCTTTATCCGCCGTAGCCGGAGCGGACCAAACTTGAGCTTGTCCCATCGTTCAGAATATTTCAGTTTATAGAACGGCTTAAATGGCGCTTGGTGAATGCTCTCTCTCCATACCTATTTCACTGCAATGTGCTTGCGCTTTTTTGAGCTTCTGTACAGCACTGAACAATACTTCAATGTGAATCGAGCAATTGTGATATAAGAATGGAGTATTGCTTGTTGTAGAGAAACATACCCTCGCGATAACACAGCCTACTTGTTTTCAGGCGTCAACGGAGCATGATTATCGCAATCACAGGTCTCTTACTATAAGACAGATATTACGGGGTTTGCCACCAAGAGTCAGATTGCTGATTCACATCGCACTAGTGAGACATTACTCATTTGTTAGTTAAAACAAAATGCATTATCCAATTTGGGCCTCAGGTTTCAAGCACATGGAAGTCCAGTTTTCTCTTGTTGACAGTCTCGTAGAAGGTATCCGGACAGAAAGAACATGCGATTTTCATGTCATCGGCAAAGTGTTGTGGTATACCGAATTTCGCTGCTTCGTTCACATACCTTGAGAGCAATCACGGCCAGTGATTTGTTAACGATGTTCCGCACGCAATTCAATTCTATTGGAATAGCAAGCTCTTTCGAATTCCAGTAGAATTTGTGCGTCTCTTTCACACTGTGTTAGCCGATTGCGCTGCAGTTACCTGCTGGTGAGTGAATTCACATTTTTAGCGCTATTCGGAGCCTCGCTAGTTATTCTGCTCAAGATGTTTACGAGGGCCATACGCTCAGCAGAAAATTTTGTCAACCTGATTTCGAATTGCTTCGAAGATGTGGTTGCGATCAGCCGAAGAAAATGGAGTAGTCATTGCACCTGTGCATCTCCTTACTAGTCTGACAGTTGTACCCTCCGAAATTCACACGTTTGCCATTTCCACTGCCTTCTTGAACTCAGGTCATTCACCCAACTCGTGGACACTGGGATGGCAGTTCACTAAAATCACCATCGTCACACGTATAAGTCCCGGTTGGGCTAATCGTTTAGCACACATGCTAGACCTCTAGCACTTAGCCCGCTATCTTATTTCGTGATAGCTTGACACTTTCGGACTGCCCCCTGTATCTTAATACTCGCATGTCTTTCGTACCGTAAGGCTCCACTATCGAATGTTCCATGTCGAACTGTATGGTGACATCAAGTGGAAAAGGGGGGATTTGGAGATTTTTGATAATCGACACTTATTGGAACTCCTTTCGACAACTCACTGTGTGCATTTATGCACACTGCATCAACCTCTTCCACCTATGTAATCTCCTGATTGCTCACGAGATCAGCATGCCACTTGGACCACCAGCGTCCGTATTTTGTTTCCTCGTACACAATCCAAGTGACTGGTCGAGTTACTGACTCTGACCACACATTCTGCGATCGATGCATTAGTTAGCAAAGACATTTTGTCAACTTCCACGTTAAACATTCGAGTGAATCACGCACATTGATTGTTTACTAGACTTGCGACTTACTTAGGAACCGATTACCTTTCTGCCACTCCTCTATAGGCCGTGACATGGCTTAGCACAGTACCGTTAACGGCAGATTCGTTTGCTTTCATAAATCAACAATACGTAGACTTTGCCAGCGCTAAGGCGATCTGACCATGACATTTTCACTTGATCCGTCAGTCAACTCGTTTCATCCGCTGCCTTGCTTAACTCTGCTGGTCACCCACTAAACTGCTATTTCGTTCTCCACTCCATTTTTACACTTAAAAGTTTCCTGACTAATTATTCCCGATTTTCGCCACATTCCGATATATATATATATATATATATATATATATACGCAACAATCTATATAAGACATTTTGATATGTTGTCAGTGCAGAGGCTCATACAAGCTTCCCATTGTCTGCGATTACGCACTATGCCATCTTCAGACAGCGGAGTTCTTCATCTCTGACTCTCCAGCCCGGAGGACGTACGGGGCGGACGACAGCAAGACTGCAAATCAGCACTTTAATGTTATGTCACCATGTAGTGGGTTGGCCACCGCGCGATTTCTTCCTATGCGGCCCTGCGCGAGCGAATAGAGCGCGCTGTGGCAAACGCACGAACGGCATGCACCGGACTTGACCTAGCCACCTCAATTGGCGCAGCGATATTAATTGGTCGAGAGCTAGGCCCGTGGTACCAAGGACGCGACGTCTAGATCGACGTCGCTAACTTGATGTTCTCACCACACACCAGCTATTTTGTGCTGACAACCGTTGTCAAAGGCCGAAATTCGACGCAAAGCATTTACACGAATCGGCCAGGACTCGCTTCCATACAACAGGAGAGGGCAAACACTGGCATTATATACCCTACTCTTTACCGAGAGTGAAACGTCACGACGTCACAAATGCCTCATATAAGCTAAAGCTAATAGGGCTTTGACAATACGGAGCGAAATCTTTTTGCCGATGGTGCCATCAGAAGAAATGCAGCTCCCAGTGTAGATGATGCTATCTACTTGTTCAAGCTGCGTGCCTTCAAGAACCAGTACAAGGGCAGGTGGACGCCAATCCTAGAGTATTACCTTACATTCCGATGAAGCGAAGGTCATGCCATACTTGGAAGCTTCAATTATCAAGCGGTTTGGAACGACTCGCATGATATGTGTATCGTCACCAAACAAGGCAATATCATCAGCAAAGTCCAACTCAATTACGCGCTTGCCTGTAAGAAGCTCTACTTCAGAAACCTGGAGACCTTCCATAGGGCTAAATAGGACAACCTCAATCGCAAAGGTGAAGGGAAACGGAGACATGGGGCATTCTTGTCGCACACCACTAGTAACGGCTAAAGGTGAAGAAAGCTTACCATATGCCATAGCTCTACTGTTGTTGTGTAAAGCTGGAAGTATGGTGGTATACCTTTCGGGAACTCCATTCCTTTGTAGACAACGCCACGTAGCAGGCCGGTCGACCGAATCGAACGCAGCTCGGATGTCCAATAGTTCGACAGAGGTTGCGCTACTCGAGGAGTTGGCGGAGTGTAAACTCGTGATCCGCACACCCTCGACCGGGTCGGAAACCAGCCTTTTCCTCACTTGCGTGTAGCTCTCGAATAGGTGTTAGCCTGCGCAGTAGGATGGATGTTAACAGTTTATAGGCGACGGACATTAAACTGATTCCTCTGTGGTTGACGCATGAGTTACATGCACCGTTTTTGTATGTGTACGGTTATCTACTCGCCAAAAGAGGATGGCACGTTTTCTTCACACCAGATCTTCGCAAACAGAGCTGTTAACTGACTGACAATCGCCTCGCCACTGTACCTAAACAGCTCCGGAGGAACTCGGTTTGAACCAGCAGTTTTGAGCCACTTCAAGTGACGAAGCTCAAGACAGACCTCCGCTTCAGTGGGTGGTCGAAGTGAAACATTCCGAGGCTCGCAACTTTACCTGCATTCTAGACAAGAGGAAGGAGGCCAACTGAATTGAGAGTGGAAGTGCTCAGCCCAGCCGTCCATGTGCCTACGCAAATGAGTGACTGGTGACCCATCAACCTGACAAATAGCTTCACTGACACCAGATCTTCTGTGTCCAGTGGTCCATATAATCTGCAAAAGCTTGCGAAAATTTTCAAGGAGGGCTGCTGTGTCCATCCTCGAAGCGCGCTGCGACCACCAAGCTTCACAATCGTTACGTAGGCTTCGCTTGAGTTCTTGGTTTAAGTTGCGGCGGACTTCATCGTAGCTTGAATTAGCTAGGATAGCTCGGTGACGGTCAAACAATTCCACTGAGAAAGCGGAGATCCATCCTCTCATAGGACGCCCAGCAATTCCGCAGTTTGATTGACCGGAAGAAAGCAACGCCTTTTGCAAGAACTTCCACTGCTGTTGGTCATCAGTAGATGTGGCACAAGTGGGCGCATCTAATAAGAAGGATTGATAGGCCACATGATGTTATGGGGACCCAACGTCCCCATAATGATCATAAGCTTAAACCACGGAAGGCAATGTGACTCGATTCAGACAAGTGCACGTGTTTCGATCAGCCTTCCAACTCGTGAGATATTCACATTTCGATTGGCCTTTGTACCTCAGCAAACATTTCTGTTTTCGGCCGACCTCCCTTCAGTCATAAAACATTCAGCCTTTTTTTACCTAAAAAACATTCAGTTTTCCCGTCCAGCCTCCACATCT